ATTACAATATGCAGTTTTGTGTATAGAATCCTGTCAGGGTTATTTTCATGAATTTAGTCGGAATAGAAAATCTGAGGTAAGAAATATCTGATGTTATTTTGCCCAGGTTTTAGCGAATGACCCTGTGTCTGAGCTAAAATCCCTTCCACACTGTAATTCATAACTGACAAATCTGGCATTGCTCATGGCTCTCAGAGGATTTTAATAAATGGTCTCACCTGGATTCTGATTTCTGGAGAAGAGAGTCCCACCGTTCCTGGAGCTGTGAAAGGGGGTCTCGATGCCCCTCATGGACCACATCCTGAATGGGGAGGGGTTGAGTTGGAGTATTCCTGTCCCATAAGAATCTTTCTATTCTGGGTCTCTTTTCCTGGATGAGTCGCTGAAGAAGCTGCCCCATATTAATATAAATTATTTGGTTATTGACAGGCAGCAATTCCTGGGAAACATTCCGAGAACTGAACATTCACCATGGAAACGACAAGAATTTTCCTGCACTACTTTTAGTGGATTCTATTTTGTCATTGTGTTAATCATGTCACATGTAACATGTTAATAAAGTTCCATCCTCACATGAGGCCTAAACCTACAATTTTATCACCAGTGGGTGCCATCCTGGAACTGAGACCAAGTTCTGGCCTCATCTACACTAAACTCCCAGTATGTGCTGCCTGGTTCCTGGACCCGAGTCCAGGAACCAGGCAGCAGGAACCAGGCCCCCCTACACTCTTCAACTGGAATGAGCTGTCTGATTCCTAGAACTGAGACCAAATTCTAGCCTCCCCTACATGTCTTGCCCAGAATTAATTTTCTGGTTCCTAGAACTGAGACCAAGTTCTAGTTTCCTCTACACTCCTCACTTAGAATGATCTGCCTGGTTCCTGGAACCAAGTCCAAGTTTTAGCCTCCACTACACTCCTCGCCCAGAATGAGCGGTCTGGTTCTTGGAACAGAGACTAAGTTCTAGGCTCCCTTACACTCCTCACCCAGAATGAGCTGCCTGGTTCCTGAAACTGAGACCAAGTTCTAGGCTCCCTTACATTCCTCAACCAGAATGCGCAGCTTGGCTCCTGAAACACCTTACTGTTCTTGGATGTATAGATTATATTAAAAGGAAATAATGGTTCTGTAAGTATGTGATTTATGCCGTTTAGGCTCTTTTAGTGCACACGAGAAGTCATTACGAGGCCCTTGGACTTAAAACTCATGTTGTACTGTATGGGGAGATCAGGACACCATACACCACACCGTGTGGGCAGCAGGGTCACTGCATGAGCTGCATCCTCATATGGACTCAAGTTTAATAATTAGATGCCCTCTAATGAGAATTGTCATCTAATCCCATCCTGAAAGCAGATTAATAGGGTCCTCACAATACACATGGGACAAACAGGAAAATCCAATTCAGCTAAAGACTCCATTACCATTTCAAAAGGTCTCATCTCGTCCTGCGAGGGCATTGTGAATGGAGTGCTCTGGAAATGTACTGATTATTTCCCAGGGGTGACTTGATACAAACACTAAGACAGGAGGTGGCTGCGTGGTGGTTCTCAGTTTAGATAACATGAAGATGTGTTTTCATTCATTGACTTTTAATAATTAGCTATGTTGCAGGTCTCTCCCTGGCTCTCTATGGGTGTTAAATAATATTGATTTGAAGATTAAAGGCTCCCATGTGCTGTCTCTATCCTTGGCCTGAGATACCAGGAGCCTCACATAAAAAGTAACAGCAGAACAGATATGTAAAAGGTAAAAAACATCATTGTTTCCTATTACTTTTCCTCCTATGGATACCATCATCAGGGTAATGTCCACGTGTGTGTATATTTAGGATGCAGTGTATATATCTGGTGTGGCCTTACTTGGTGCTCACAGCTGTTAGCACTAATGTTGGGTTCACATGTAGATGTCACATGTTGCATGTGAGTCAGGTAATACGCCATTATCGACCCTGTACTAGTGAATACACATCTATCTGCCTCTAGTCTTTTTGATTTATGACTGTCGGATTAAAAACTTATTTTATTCACTATTTAACTATTTAAGGTATCACCTACCTTTATTCATGCATTAATGTGTGATAGTAACTGGTTGTAGTCATACAAATATACAAATGGACCCATTAAACCCATAATATCAGAATATTCATTTCTGCTTTCTGAGCCATTTCTATGCTGAACAGACAAAAATACAGGAACGGGTTCTGATGTTAGGAACATATTGGAAGTGCCAGCCATGGCTATGCCAGTCCTGGCTCTGCCCATCCAGAGATATGTGGGTGAAAGTCTATGGTATAATGCAATTACTGCAGCCTGTCAATCGATGAAAAAGACCTCACAGCGTGCAAGCTGGCACCAGCTGCCCTCAGGGTGCCCATTCATGCCAAGGTTAATTACTTGGCAAGCAGCTCTCTCCATGCCTATAATAAAGATGGACATTATTTTCTCATCTTTCACGAAGCAATCCTGCTGTTTCTTAGTTATCCCTTGCCCAGTAACGTTACAGAAAATCCCACAAAACACACTGGCCAGACTGGTACCCTAGGTGATGATAATAAGACAGGACGTCCAATCAAGAGGGCACAGATTATCCCAAAATCTGATACAAATCACATGGAAACATCACCCAAACTTTCTATTACACCAACATAGAATCCCGGCACTGCCAGACTTTCTATTACACCTACATAGTATCCCGGCACAGCCAGACTTTCTATTACACCTACATAGCATCCCGGCACAGCCAGACTTTCTATTACACCTACATAGCATCCCGGTACAGCCAGACTTTCTATTACACCAACATAGAATCCCGGCACTGCCAGACTTTCTATTACACCTACATAGAATCCCGGCACAGCCAGACTTTCTATTACACCTACATAGCATCCCGGCACAGCCAGACTTTCTATTACACCTACATAGCATCCCGGCACAGCCAGACTTTCTATTACACCAACATAGCATCCCGGCACTGCCAGACTTTCTATTACACCTACATAGAATCCCGGCACAGCCAGACTTTCTATTACACCTACATAGCATCCCGGCACAGCCAGACTTTCTATTACACCTACATAGCATCCCGGCACAGCCAGACTTTCTATTACACCTACATAGCATCCCAGGACAGCCAGACTTTCTATTACACCTACATAGCATCCCGGCACAGCCAGACTTTCTATTACACCTACATAACATCCCGACCCAGCCAGACTTTCTATTACACCTACATAGCATCCCTGCACAGCCAGACTTTCTATTACACCTACATAGCATCCCGGCACAGCCAGACTTTCTATTACACCTCCATAGCATCCCAGGACAGACAGACTTTCTATTACACCTACATAACATCCCGACCCAGCCAGACTTTCTATTACACCTACATAGCATCCCGGCACAGCCAGACTTTCTATTACACCTACATAGCATCCCTGCACAGCCAGACTTTCTATTAAACCTACATAGCATCCCGGCACAGCCAGACTTTCTATTACACCTCCATAGCATCCCAGGACAGACAGACTTTCTATTACACCTACATAACATCCCGACCCAGCCAGACTTTCTATTACACCTACATAGCATCCCGGCACAGCTAGACTTTCTATTACACCAACATAGCATCCCGGCACAGCCAGACTTTCTATTACACCTCCATAGAATCCTGGCACAGCTAGACTTTCTATAAAACCCACATAGCATCCCGGCACAGCCAGACTTTCTATTACACCTACATAGCATCCCGGCACAGCTAGACTTTCTATTACACCTCCATAGCATCCCAGGACAGACAGACTTTCTATTACACCTACATAACATCCCGACCCAGCCAGACTTTCTATTACACCTACAGAGCATCCCGGCACAGCCAGACTTTCTATTACACCTACATAGCATCCCGGCACAGCCAGACTTTCTATTACACCTCCATAGAATCCTGGCACAGCCAGACTTTCTATTACACCTACATAGAATCCCGGCACAGCCAGACTTTCTATTACACCTGTAACGGACCGTTTCTCTCACAAGGGGATAAAATCGGTTTAGGCGATAATCCCCTTTCCCATAGACCAGCAGCTACTGCAATCACCAACCTCCTGACTCCAAACTGCACGTATTCACCAACTCTCGAACAGCAGACACAGGAACCCTGGAAGCAGCCGAACAGGAAAAGCAATACACACGGCTTACACTCCTGGCAGTCAGCACACAATCCAATTCCCCCAATAACGAGACGACACTTCGTTTTGAGGGTTAAGCAGAATCTGAGGTGCTGGCACACCCAGCCTGGTTTTTATTACAGTGTTTTCAAATACAGGACCGCCCACAGGGAGGTATAAAACAACCAATAACATCACAGTTACATCCCACATATTCCCTCCCCTTATCCTGAGAGGAAACTCAATTATACATACAGTTAAAACATACTTTCTACCCAACTTTCATAACTCTAAAACCATACATCACATTCACATAAAATTACATATGCACAATCAATCCATTCAGGGGAACAACATATTCAAAAATGGCACAAATCAGGTAAGGGGTTCAAAAGTTAGTAAAAAGTCCTTTGTGACTAAATGAAGCATGGCTTTCTGGCCCAAACCAGTTTCAGAGTCTTCTATCCTGGAGATAAGTAATTCAATTATCTCCCAGGATAGACACAAGACTCCATTAAGCACATGGTTGCAAAAAGACACAAAACACTTTAAAATACATAAAGTCACATTTTACACATAACACACAGACATTTCACATATCCCCAGATAGCTCAGGTCTGAGCGCACATTATTAAGTGAATGGCTCTCAGACCACACGAATACAGTTTAATCGCCATGGAGCCAAAGTCTTTACAGTCAGTTTCATACAAATGGGCTCCATGGGATTCCTATCTGGGGTATAACACATTCAAACACATCTACCGAACCCCAGGCAGAAAAGCACGAATACAGCTTTTCTGCAGGCAAAAATAAAGTCTTTTAAAAGGGGGTTATAGTCAGATGGCAGGAGGCTGGCAACCAGGCTTCTCCAGTGCACAGTGGCGAGGCTGGTTTCGCCACACTTCTCCCCTTTACCAATCAGACTAACAGGGTATCTGACCTCCTGCCGGTCAGTGCCCTTGTTAGTCCAGCAGCCCACCCACAAAACACAATCAGTAATACAGCCCACCCACAATAACTGGCTACTACACCTGGGTAAAGGAGAACTTTGTCCGTGTCCAGGTGCCTCACCATGGCTGTGTGGGTGACTGGTCAGCGTACTGGGTGGGTTGCTGAGTGGGCAGAGACCAGCGGTACTCGGTCCTGGTGCCAGCACTACCACGGGAGTAGTCTGGTTGGAGCCTGGTTGCTGGAGGGGGGGACAGACTGTCTCCCCTTTGCCTAAACAGTCCTGCTGCTGGGGGACAGGACCGACTTTTCCTACCCCCGGTGGTGCATGTGCAGAGACCACTGTCCCCTCTGCACTGTTGTGGAGATTACTGTCTCCCCTTGGTGGGCTAAGCTGCCGCTGGGGAGAGGGGGTAACAAGCTCCTCTCCCATACATACTTTCAGCCGCTGGGGGAGGGGATAACAAGCTCCTCTCCCTGACACTCTCTCTGCTGTTGAAGGGGGAGACCGACTGTCTCCCCTTTCAATAATTTGTCCTGTTGCTGGGGAGAGGTGATAACTGGTTCCTCTCCCTGGAACACTCTCTGCTGTTGGAGGGAGGGAACCAACTGTCTCCCCTTTTAATATATTGCCCTGCTGCTGGGGAGCGAGACCGACTGTCTCCGCTTCCTGCAGAACACACTGCCGCTGGGGAGGGAGGACGACACCTTCAGCTCCCTGGGGTACACACTGCCGCTGGGGAGGAAGGACGGCACCTTCAGCTCCCTGGGGTTCACACTGCTGCTGGGGAGGAAGGATTACACCTTCAGCTCCCTGGGATACACACTGCCGCTGGGGAGGAAGGACGGTACCTTCAGCTCCCTGGGATACCCACTGCCGCTGGGGAGGAAGGACGGCACCTTCTGCTCCCTGGGACACACACTGCCGCTGGGGAGGAAGGACGACACCTTCGGCTCCCTGGGACACACACTGCCGCTGGGGAGGAAGGACGGCACCTTCTGCTCCCTGGGGTACACACTGCCGCTGGGGAGGAAGGACGGCACCTTCAGCTCCCTGGGATACACACTGCTGCTGGGGAGGAAGGATGGCACCTTCAGCTCCCTGGGATACATACTGCCGCTGGGGAGGAAGGACGACACCTTCAGCTCCCTGGGATACACACTGCCGCTGGGGAGGAAGGACGACACCTTTGGCTCCCTGGGACACACACTGCTGCTGGGGAGGAAGGACGACACCTTCAGCTCCCTGGGGTACACACTGCCGCTGGGGAGGAAGGACTGCACCTTCAGCTCCCTGGTATACACACTGCCGCTGGGGAGGAAGGACGACACCTTCAGCTCCCTGGGATACACACTGCCGCTGGGGAGGAAGGACGACACCTTCAGCTCCCTGGGATACACACTGCCGCTGGGGAGGGAGGACGACACCTTTGGCTCCCTGGGACTCACACTGCTGCTGGGGAGGAAGGACTGTACCTTCAGCTCCCTGGGATACACACTGCCGCTGGGGAGGAAGGACGACACCTTTGGCTCCCTGGGACTTACTCTGCCGCTGGAGAGGAAGGACGACACCTTTGGCTCCCTGGGATACACACTGCCGCTGGGGAGGAAGGACGACACCTTTGGCGTGATCTGCCACGACCTGCAGGTACTCTGCTACATGTCCCCTCACGCGCTGCACGAATTCCTCAGAGGGGACAAATGTAACGAGAGCCAGCCGCAATTTAAGCTCTCGGTCAAACTCCTCCTGAGTGTAGCTGGGCTCCATGTTTGCTCTGCCGAAGTTGGTTCCTTTGTAGATAGGGTCGCTGTACGGGTACTAACGTTGCCCTCAATTGTAATCCAGGCACTGGTGTTGTCTTGTAGCTGTCCTTCTGGTTGTAGGAACGATCCCGCCGCTTGCCACCAATTATAACAGACCGTTTCTCACACAAGGGGATAAAATCGGTTTAGGCGATAATCCCCTTTCCCATAGACCAGCAGCTACTGCAATCACCAACCTCCTGAACTCCAAACTGCACGTATTCACCAACTCTCGAACAGCAGACACAGGAACCCTGGAAGCAGCCGAACAGGAAAAGCAATACAAACGGCTTACACTCCTGGCAGTCAGCACACAATCCAATTCCCCCAATAACAAGACGACACTTCGTTTTGAGGGTTAAGCAGAATCTGAGGTGCTGGCACACCCAGCCTGGTTTTTATTACAGTGTTTTCAAATACAGGACCGCCCACAGGGAGGTATAAAACAACCAATAACATCACAGTTACATCCCACATA